CATACGGTGTTAGGATGCTACATTCACATTGTGTCCAAACTGCTAAAATTTGTTCCTCTCTGCCCGCAGTTCCCAGTGTACCCCCTGATGTTCTGGGTGAAGGGTACCAGTTAGTGAGCCAGTTCTCTCAGCTCTGTGGAAACCTGAATTCTGACGGTTGGACTTTAAAGTGAGGGACCGCTCACTGCTGACTAACTGCTACGTTCATTTTATTGYCCTTCACATTTCCAGTTTTCACTCTTTTCTGTTCCTTCACTGACCTTCTGAGCAGATGTTCACAGCTGGAGCTTCACAGTTGCATCCTCCGAGAAATCTGTGTCGTCATCCAGCGGGACGGAGATCCTCGGGACGAGCCTTTCAGCTGCAGACTTGGAGAAATCATGGTGAGAGTGAGACAGTTGTCCCCCAACATCCATATTTAAAGTGTAACTAACCTCCACTGTGAAAGCACAACCCCTCCCCCAGGAAAATAAAAAACATTACAACAACGTGGGCAGTGCSAAGAGACACTGAGGGGCCTAAAGTGTGGGGGTGAGCGAGGAGGCGTGGTCAGGACGAGGGAACGTGACAGCTAGATTAATTTAACAAGCTAACAATTGATTGTTCTAAAGAAGTTGTTTTATTTTGTAAAAAGTAAAGTTTCATGACACACATGCACACTCACATTTAGCTGTTTTAAACTAACAAGTAAAGTTCAGACCGCAAACTGTTAAAATATGACTCTGGCAGTGATGGGTCGAGCARCACCGATGCGTCGAGCTCATAGAATGAAACCCCGTGTCGGTGCGTGTTTTGCTAAAAACGTCACGTGACCGATACAGCAACTGTTTYGGACTGACAGTGATGCGCCAGACTGTGTTTATAAGGAAGCGTATGCATCTGTCAAAAGAATTTCTGATATTTTGCGGTTCATCATCAAGAATTATGGAGCATCTTCAAGCCAAAATAAAGGTTTCCACCTTTTTGAGCTCACATCCACACATGTCAATCCCTTCAGACATTTTGTAGACTCAAAAATCAGTATTACTTGCGCGGGCGGTGGGATGGGGGTGGGGCAGGTGTCGGCCGCGGAGCGTCTGCAGCACAAAGCAGAAAAACAGGAGGAGTACAGCACTTATTTCTAGCAGCAGAGTGGGTTGAAGGATTGGTTGTTTGATGTTATTTTTTTAAATTTATGTTGAATTTTTAGCCTAAATATGAAACCGAGTTTTTGAAAATCTGTAAAAGTTGAAAACAGTGCGTGTGATTGCTGTATATGTCCATATACCTGCAAAATGAAGCTAGCAAATCTGTGTAAATTACGGACAATACATACAGCCTGACGTTCACATTATTTATAGACTGTATCTAAAAATATCAAAGATATTTTAAATGTAAATGAAGGTATGAAATAATATAATATAAAACACAATGGCTTAAATTATGTTATTTTTATTTATTTTTAAATTATTTTATTGTATAGTTTATCAAATCAGTGTCAGTTGATCTGTCAACTAGGTTGCCTGTAGTGATTTTTAAGGTCCAGCAGGTGTCAGTATTCAGTGGCACAGTATCAACACGTATCTACGGTTTGGTAATGTGTCGAAATGACACATGATGCCTCATCGATCCATCACTAGACTCTGGTCCAAAACAGCAGAAAAAAAATATATTTTTTTTATTTCTGTTTGGTTCAATGTTTTATTTAAAATTCGGGACTGACACATGTGCTGTCCCCCAGCACGAAGAGACTTTAGACCATATTTACACAAAAATGTAAACATTTGCACAGAAATACAATATTACTATCTGACGTTTAAGGCACAATTAAGAGTTGATTTTGGGGGTAAGATACTCTTTAAAGGTTTATGTAGCACAAAGAATCATCATGACCGGTTTCTTTACGGTTCTGTTGGACTTGAATAACAAAAAAAATTTATTTTAATTTTTTTCTCCGAAATTTAAAGAAAAAAAATTAAACTCCAAAATTTCGAGATAAAACTCCGAATTGTGACTTTTAGTCTTAAAATTCCACGAGATTAAATTTAGAATTGTTACTTTAATCTCAGATTTTTCAGACAGGTTTAACGGCTACCCTCTCCCCTGGTGTGTTTCTGAAAGGTGCTGGATGTAGGTGGTCTGCAGGCGCCCCCCGTCGCCGTCGCAGGGTTGTGCATTGACGATGTTGTGTGGATGCGCGGCGCCAGGTCGTCACCTGAGAGCACGTCCCCGCTGCTGCGCCTGAACGCCACTCTGCGCTGGAACTACCCGCTGCAGCTCGTACGCCATTTCAGGGTGTACTGGCGCCGGCTGAGGGGACCCGATCCCCGAACCCCTCCGGGTCCTCTGGAGCTGGTGAGCAAGGCTTACTCGAACCTGTACAGGGTGACGGAGCTGGTTCTGCCAGAACCGCCTGGCCTGGTTGAGCTGGTGGTGGAACCAGTGGTGAGGAATGGCTCCACGGTTCCTGAAGGCCTCTGGGGAAGATGGCGGCTCAGCTACATGGTGATCTTTACACCAAGGCTGTTCCTCCAGGATCCTGGTGCAGGCGAGACTTCAAAGTACAACTGGACCTTTTTGAGATGCAGCACTTTATCTGATGTCTTCCTTCTGACAGTCTTTTTCAGCTGAATGTAGCTGACAAACAGGGATTTTATGTCAAAGTCTGTATTCAACATGTCTGACAAAGTCTAACCTCTGCTCAGGAATACCGTGACTGAAAAATACAGAATATGACAGAAATATTATGAAACTTTAAAAATCTGTCAGGATATTTTTTTTTTCTTTTTTCCAATGAGATGTCATTAAGTTATCTGTATACAGATTTATATTCTACCAGCTACTATTAAATCATAGGGGGACTTTAAAAAGTCTTCATACAGTTTGAACTTTTCCACATTTAGTCATATTTCAACAAGGGGTGTAACTCAGCAGCTTTATCAAAATATATTTGTTTGGGTGACGATACAATGCTTCTGAATAACAATCTGTCATGATACGATTTCAATTCAGCTCACAAGTCTGCTATCAATAAATTTAATTGTGAAATGAAAACATTTTAATGGGGACTTCAAATTTGAAAAGCTTTCATCTCCTCTGAGGTTTTATGTTTTTATTGCGGTCATGTATCAATTATGGTTGACATAAAATAATTTTCTTGACTAGCGAGTCTTTAAACTCTGGTCAAAATTTAATGTTTTGTTTTTTTTTTTTTTCTTTAAAAGAGCTGTTTTCTGTTTGCCACTCTCCTGTAGGAAAATATGCGTTGTTCAAAATGGTATGTCCGAATAAACAGGAATCTGCTGGATTTCTTCTTAAAACTTTATTTTCAATCTTCTGGCTCCAATCAGGTTCACACAGCAGTCAGCACACAGGCCTCAGTAAGACCTTGGGCTGAACCAAAACACAGCTGCCCTGCTCTGAGCAGAGACTCCACAACACTGAMAACTTCTACTATAATAATGAATTGACCTTATAATGTTAATCTCTTCCTGGTTACATCCCTGGAGGTGTTACCTTTTACGTCAGACGTCAGAACGTCACTCATTCTGTTTAGACTTAAGAAAACACATAATGAGACACCAACTCTTTGTCTGCTTGTCGGCTGAAATGATCAGAAAGTATAAAATACAATACTGCATCTAACATTCAATTAATCAGTTACAAAATTTCCTTCACTCCCATAAAACTCCCAAATCTTTCTAGAGTCAAATTATGAGGCCGTCTGTCCGACAGCTGAAGCTTAAACCAAAAACAATCCCAAACACAGCAGCTGAGAAGTGTCCAAAAAGAGTTGGCCAAAGCTCAGAGAATGATAAAGTTCTACCTAAAACAACCCTGAGTTGCTGCTGCAGGAACAACAGCATTTACTTTTTTGGGCTTTTAGTTTATTAAAGAAAATGGTGGAAACTGTAATGTTTTGTTCAATTTTAATTATTTTAAAACCTGGTAAAGAACAAATACTTATGTCCTGATGCTTATGAAAGTATGCACTTTGAATTAAATGTCTTATACAAGGATTGTATTCATTCCAGAAAACTTCACTTCTATCAGAACAGAAAGTTTTCTACCACAATCAATTTCCCTGTTGCCTTCTGATTGGACACCTGGTTATTTCAACGTGTTGGTTTCTGTGTGGATAATAAAGAAGAAACCACATTTACAGTGGTTTGCAAAAGTATTCATACCCCTTGAACTTTTCCATATTTTGTCACATTACAACCACAAACATAAATATATTTCAC